GTGGATCGATGCTGGTCCTTTTGGGGAGGGGTAGAGGAAGATTTTCGTAGGTTCTTGGGATGTCCTTCCTCAAAGTTCCTCCCTTTCATTCACTGAATTGAGAGTGTGGGTATTGGGAGATACCCAATATCTCTAGTGATACTGGAAGCCAAGTATAATGATTTAATTATAGATTCACTAGGCCTACAATTTTTCCTGTTATACAGGTCAACTATTTCCTTTGTAGGCTTCTCATCTAGTTCAATTTTAGGCACACCATGATCAGTTAGCTACCACCAAAAGATCCCTCCAAGTCAAATTATTTTGCTAATATAATAACCATAGCCACTATGTTTCTGGCAGCTAAATCCTACTATTTGGTGTCTGCCTCTCTGGGAACCCATAAATCCTACTGAAAACAGAGAACTACTTCCAATAGCAGTATAAAGAAATTAATCAAAGCATTATTCAAGGATTCTCGTTCTTGCCTCATCAGTATTTTTCTTGATGAGTTAGAAAAGGCAGTGTTCTCTAGGCTTACTTTGGGTATATGTGAGATGTTGTGCATGATATGTTTCCAACATTCTTATCACAATAAGCCTCTAGTCTTAACATTTCAACTTCTTTCAACAATAGACCATAGTGAAGTCCAGGTTTCTGTCAACCAGTCGAGTTAACAATTGGCTCAAGCTATGTAGAATGAATCCAGAGCCTCTCGTTAGTTTATCTGTGTCAGTAATTTGTCCTATAAAATTATGTTTTTGGTAGAAATTTGATTTTTTTCCAGGTTTTTGCAAATATTAATTAGCAAAATCTTGCAGTTCTTTTGGTGTATGAATCTTCTCCTTCTAGGTTTGAATTTTAAAATTGGCCTTTATGGGCATGCTGGAATCTGGAACTAGTTATAAATGTGGAGGAAATAAAAAGTTATAGGTGTAGAGTATGAATTCCTATAGGAAGTAACTATCTGAGGTGAGGTCATTATAAGGCAAGTTTGTCCAACCCATGGCCTGCAGGCTGCATGCAGACCAGGACGGCTTTAATGAGTGTGACCCAACACAAAATTGTAAACGTTTTAAAAATATTATGAGACTTTTTTGTGATTTTTTTTTTTTAAAAAGCTCATCAGCTATCATTAGTATTAGTGTATTTTATGTGTGGCCCAGGACAATTCTTCTTCTTCCAAGGTAGCCCAGGGAAGCCAAAAGATTGGACACCCCTGCTGTAAGATTTTTAAGCAGAGCCAGATCAGCATCTTCAGACTGGGGAGGAGGGGAGTCACAGTGGGGTTTGAGTGTGCTGAATAATCTTGTTCCTCCTAAACGCTCTCATTCCATTTCTTGTGGCCCGTTCTTTCCGAGTGCCCTTTGATGTGAAATTTAGTGAGGACCTGAATTAAGCCTGTATTGAAATTCAGTAACTGGCTAGATTTGACTCTGCATTTGCTCTTTGCTTTGGCCATGACAGCCCTGTGACCATAAGAGATAAAAATTCTTTGAGAGGAGTCCTAGAAACTCTAACAATCCCTTCCCTAACACTCCCTTGATCTGTGAGTTTAAATTCTTTGGCCTTTTCCTTTTTCTTTTTTTTTTCTTGTTTGAGACAGCATCTTGCTCTGTCACCCGGGCGGGAATGTGATAGCAAGATCTCAGCTCACTGAAACCTCTACTTCCTGGACTCAAGCCATCCTCCCACCTCAGCCTCCCAAGTATTAATAGCTGGGACTACAGGTGTGGGCTACAAGGTGTTGCCATGTTGGCCAGGCTGGTCTCAAACTCCCAGACTCAAGTTATCTGCCTGTCTCAGCCTCCCAAAGTGCTGGGATTACAGGTGTGAGCCACCACGCCTGGCTACCTTTTTCTTTTTTAAAGCTCACTGATGCTAATAAAGTCAACCATCCTAACCCATACTTCCTATATTCCTTAGCCCCACATAGTGGCATATTGCAACAATCAAAAAGGAAGCCAAACCTTGGCTTCAGAAGGCATTTTATTCCAAATGATCACAGGCAGTCATTTAAGAAGCTGTTTTACCATCTTGTATAATTACTAGTGTCCAATCACTTAATGGTACTCAAACACGCACTTCAAACCCAACCAGGTCAGATAGCCACTCCAAGGTTTTCGTGTTAAGTCTGTTGTTTGCAATCACTTCTAGAATAGTTTTCTTAATTGGTCAGAGTTCCTTAATTGCAGCCAATGAATTTACTTTGGTTACTTTAAGCATAAAGGAATTTATTAAGGGATAAATTATTAAAGAAACATTATGAAGGCTGAAGAAATAGACTCTAGGTGAACTTCTAGGAATAACCCCAGTGTGCATTTCAACATTCTAAAATGGCTTTTGAAGGGAGTTACAGCATCTGCTATGATCAGGAAGCCAGCACAGCTGCTGGTTCCAGTCTGTGCTAGAAATATGGGTGCCCTGTGCCCTGTCTTTTCTCCATATCACTTGGTTCTGAATATGTCTAATATAGGTACATCTGTTTGGTGAAATCTTCATCACCTACTGGCACCTTAGCACCAGAAATGCTGGGAAGTACAATTTTTAAAAATTTGTTTTTGAAAAGGCAAGATCAACAAAGTGGGGAACTTTCAAAATATTGAGAAGGTATTCAAGATATTTTTGGGCATCTAGTTAAAAGGCTAGAGATTAGAAAAGGGAAGAGCAATAGTAAGCTGTTTCTTGGGATGGGTGGTAGGCCCACAAATTATTCATTACTTTCTAGTCTTTTATAATGAATACATTTATTAGCCTAAGTTCTCCAGAGAAACAGAACCAATAAAAGATATATTTATATCTCTATCTCTCTACCCATCTATCTATTGAGAGATTTGATTTATTATCTGGGACTGGCTTATGTGACTATGGAGGCTGAGATATCCCAAGAACTGGATACCCAGGAGAAGCAAAGGCAGAGTTACAGTTTAAGTCTGAAGGATGGCCCCTTCAAAGACCAGTGCCCAAGCTTGAAGACAGGCAAAAAGAAAGAATTCTTGCTTACACAGTCTTCAGCCTGTTCAAGATTTCAATGGATTGATGAGGCCCACTCACACTGTGGAGAGGGGGAATCTGCTTGACTCAGTGTACATACTCAGATGTTAATGTCATCCAGAAACACTCTCAACAGACACACCAAGAAATAATATTTAACCAAATATCTGGGCACTGTGTGGACAATCAAGTTGACACAGAATTAACCATCACAATAGGTTACCTACTCTTTAATGTATATCAGAATACATTTCTTTGGTATGAGATATTAAAAATATTTTTGGGCAACTGCAATTGACAGATGTCCACTGCAAAACATAATCCCTTTACTTAAGATGTGATTTAGTTTAAGTGTAAATACCTGTGGAAAGACTAGTTCTTTAAGTTACTATTAGTCATTTGTACCTTGGTTTGAAGGAAGAATGAGTGGATTATTAAATGGAGTTTGGGAAGAGAGATAATTTAATCTAAATATTTGAGCACCACTCTAGAAATAAAGGGAGAAAGAATGGGAGGTTGAGAGCTTTAAGACAGATTTTTGCTAGTTCACATTTTTTTGGAACAGCTCTAATTCCTAACACGTGCATGAGATTTTGTTCCTTTTTATTTATTTTTCACTTTGAAGGATACTAGAATTTTCAGATGCCTAATAGATTATTTCAGATTTGTCATGTATCTGTCAATATTTCAATTTTCATTTTATAATATACATGATAGGACTCTGAGTTAACACCCACTCTCCCAACCTCTCTCTGGTTCTCTGGGCATTAGTTCACATGGACTGAAAGCACAAGTTGGGCTATATACTTCATTATCTGCTGCTATTTATTTCAATCCTGGATTGGAGCCACCAATGAGCAGAATTTGCATAGGGAACTTTATTCAAATCGAAAGTTTATGAATAATGCACAACTCTCGGTGATTCATCAAAAGCAATGGTAAACAAAACCCAAACAGTTGGCCACCCCCGCAGCAATCCACAGACAGTGGTCCCACCCCTCGCAAACTGTGAATGACAATATTTGAAGGTAGCAATGGAAATCAGTAGAGTTGGTTTATCTTTAGCATCACCCCATATGTTTATTGGCAACAGTTAAGTCAGAAAAATGAGCACAAGCAAAGAGAAAAAGGTGTTCTGTCTACTAAGGTATTTAAAGTCAGTGGAAATGGAAAGACCATTTCTTACCTCATCCCGCAAAGTGTACCTTCTGTGAACTTTTTCCAGTTAATAGATTGGAAACAACACCAGCTTTGTAGTTAGATAGTCCTGGGTTCAAATCCTGCGTCTGCTACTCATGAGCTGTATATTGAGCAAGTTACCTAAGTTTTCGTCTTTTTAGTAACTTAATGTCTTTTTTCTTTTTTAAAATAGTATAATAGCCAACCTTTACCTACTTTTCCATTTTTCATTGGTACATAATATTTTACATATTTATGGGGTACATGTGATATTTTGTTACACATGCATAGAATGTATAATGATCAAGTCAGGGTATTTGAGGTGTCTATATATCGAGTATTTATCATTTCTACGTGTTGGGAATTCTAGTCCTCTCTTCTAGCTACTTTGAAATATACATTGTTGTTAACTATAATCATTCTACTCTGCTGTTGACCATTAGGACATATACCTTTTATCTAACTGTATGTATATTTGTACCCACTACCTACCGCTTTTCATTCCTCTCCCTACTCACTCACCTTTCTCAGCCACTAGTGCCTGTAATTCTACTCTCTTTTCTTTTTAGACGGAGTCTTGCTCTCCTGCCCAGGCTGGAGTGCAGTAGCACAGTCTTGGCTCACTGTAACCTCCGCCTCCTGGGTTCAAGCAATTCTCCTGCCTCAGCCTCCCAAGTAGCTGGGACTACAGGTGCATGCCACCACACCTGGCTAATTTTTATATTTTTGGTAGAGATGGGGTTTTACCATGTTGGCCAGGCTGATCTTGAATTCCTGACCTCAAGTGATCTACCTGCCTCAACCTCCCAAAGTGCTGGGATTACTGGTTTGAACCACTGTGCCCAGCCTCTATCATTCTACGCTCTACCTTTTGAATATCAATTTTTTAAGCTCTCACATATGAATGAGAACATGCAGTATTTGTTTTTCTGTGCCTGGCTTGTTTCATTTCACACAATGACCTCTAGTTCCATCTGTGTTTCTGCAAATGACAGGATTTTATTCTTTTTAGGCTGAATAGTATTCCATTTTGTATATACACACCACATTTTCTTTATTCATTCATCCATTGATAAACACGTTGGTTGGTTCTGTATTTTCGCAATTGTGAATAGTACTGTGATAAACCTGTGAGTGAAGGCATCCCTTTGATATTCTGATTTCTTTTCCTTTAGATAGATACCCAGAAGTAGGATTGCTGGATTATATGGTAGTTCTAGTGTGTGTGTGTGTGTGTGTGTGTGTGTGTGTGTGTTTTAAATGATATGGGGTCTTGCTCTGTTTCCCAGGTTGGAGTGCAGTTGCACAATCATGGCTCACTGTAGCCTTGACATCCTGGGCTCAAGGGATCCTCCCTCCTCAACCTCCTGAATAGCTGGGACTACAGGCACGTGCCACCATGCTTGGCTAATTTTTAAAAACTTTTTTTGAAGATGAGGTCTCACTGTGTTGTTCAGGCTTGTCTGAAACTTCTGTGCTCAAGCAATTCTCCTGCCTAAACCCCTAGTGTGAAGATTACAGGGAGACCCACCACACCCAGCGATTTTTAGTTTTTTGAGAACTCTAAATACTGTTTTTCATAGTGGTTGTATTAATGCTAGTTTACATCCCCACCAATGTATAAGAGTTCCCTTTTCTCCACATCCTCACCAGCATAAGTTTGGTGGACTTTGCCAGTAATGACATCTGGTCCTGGGCTTTTTTTGTTGTTGTTGGGAGACTTTTTGCTACTGTTTCAGTTTTGTTACTTGTTATTGGTGTATTCAGGGTTTCTATTTCTTTCTGCTTCAATCTAGGTAAGTTGCATGTATCTAATAATTTATCTATTTTTCTCCAGGTTTTACAGTTTCTTAATGTATACTTGTTCATTATAGTCTCTAATAATTCTTTTTATTTCTGTAGTATCAGTTGTAATGTCTTCTTTTTCATTTCTGATTTTATTTATTTGGGTCTTCTTACTTCTTTTGTTGGCTAGTTGAGCTAGCAGTGTATTGATTTTATCTTTTCAAAACACCAACTTTTCATTTTATTGATTCTTTGTATTTTTAAAGTCATTGTTTAATTTAGTTCTCTGATCTTTGTTTCTTCATTTCTAGTCTCTTTTTTTGGGGGACGGGGACAGAGTCTCACTCTGTCACCCAGGCTGGTGTGCAGTGGCATGATCTTGGCTCATGCAACCTCTGCCTCCCAGGTTCAGGTGATTCTTCTGCCTTAGCCTCCTAAGTAGCTGGGATTACAGGCATGCACCACTATGCCCAGATAATTTTTGTATTTTTAGTAGAGACAGGGTTTCACCATGTTGACCAGGCTGATCTTGAACACTTGACCTTAGGTGATCTGCCTACCTTGACTTCCCAAAGTGTTGGGATTACAGGTATGAGCCACTGTGCCTGGCCCATATTTAGTCATTTAGATTTTGGTTTGTTCTGGCTTTTCCACTTCCTTGAGGGTGCATTGTTAGGTTGTTCATTTAGAGTCTTTCTGCTTTTTTGATGTGTCTATTGCTATGAACTTCCCTGTTAGCAAAGCTTTTCCTGTATCTCATAGATTTTGGTATGTTGCATTTCCATTTCTATTTGTTTCAAGGAATTTCAAATTTTCCTTCTTAATTTCTTCATCAACCCAATGATAGATTAAGAGTATGATGATAGACTGGACAGGGAAAATGTGGCACATATACACCATGGAATACTATGCAACCATCAAAAATGATGAGTTTGTGTCCTTTGTAGGGACATGGATGAACCTGGAGACCATCATTCTCAGCAAACTGACACAAGAACAGAAAATCAAACACTGCATGTTCTCACTCATAGGGGGGTGTTGAAGAATGAGAACACATGGACACAGGGAGGGGAGCATCACACACTGGGGTCTGTTGGGGGGCACTAGGGGAGAGAGAGTCGGGGGTGGGGAGTTGGGGAGAGATAGCATGAGGAGAAATGCCAGATATAGGTGATGGGGAGGAAGTCAGCAAATCACACTGCCATGTGTGTACCTATGTAACAATCTTGCATGTTCTTCACATGTACCCCAAAACCTAAAATGCAATAAAAAAGAATATGATGTTTTATTTCCTGCATTTTTACAGTTTCCAACATTCCTCTTGTAATTGATTTCTAGTTTATTCAATTGTGTTCTGAGAAGAGGCTTTATATGGTTTTAATGTTAAAAAAATTATGGAGATGTGCTTTGTTGCCTAACATATGATCAATCCTGGAGAATATTCTATGTACTAATGAGGAGATTGAGCATTTTGCAGCTGTTGAATAAAATGTTCTGTTAATGTCTGTTAGGTCCATTTGGCTTAAAGTACAGGTTAAATCCAATGTTTCTTTGTTGATTTTCTGTCTAGATTATCTGGTCTAATGCTGGAATTGGGGTGCTAAAGTCCACAACTATTATTGTATTGGAGTCCATCTCTCCCTTTAGATATAATAATATTTGCTTTATAGAGCTGAGTGCTCCACTGTTGGGTGCATATATAGTTAGAATTGTTACATCCTTTTGCTGAATATATCCTTTTATTATTGTACAAAAAGCCTCTTTTTCTCTTTTTGTAGATTTTTTTTTTTTTTTGAGACAGTGTCACACTCTCACCTAGGCTGAAGTTCACTGACATAATCATGGCTCACTACAGCCTCCACCTTCTGGGCTCAGGTGATTCTCCCACCTCAGCCTCCCAAATAGCTAGGACTACAGGCACATGCAACCATGCCCAGCTAATTTTTTGTAGATAAGGGGTTTTGCCATATTGCTCATTCTGGTCTTGAACTCCTGGGCCCAAGCAATCCACCCTCCTTAGCCTTCCAAAGTGCTGGGATTACAGGTGTGAGCCACTGTGCCAAGCCTCTTTTTGCAGTTTTTGACTTAAAATCTGTTTTATCTGACATAGGTATAGCTACTCCCATTCATTTTTTATTTCTGTTTGGATAGAATATCTTTTTCTATCTCTTTACTTTCAGCCTGTATGTCTTTATAGGTGAAATGAGTTTCTTGTAGGCAGCATATAGTTCATATAGTTGGGTCATTAAAATTCATTGAATCAGTCTATATCTTTTAAGTGAGAAATTTAATTTGTTTACATTCAGGATTATTATTGATAGTATTGATAGGTGAGTACTTGCTCTTGTCATTCTGTTTTCTGGTTGTTTTGTATATCTTGTCTTCCTTTTTTCTGTTGTTGTTTATCATTGTAGTTTGATAGTTTTTGTAGTTGTAATGTGTGAGTACTTTCTCTTTTTTATTTATGTGTCTGCTGTACAAATGAGTTTTACATTTTCATGTGTTTTAATGATGGTAGGCTTTTGCCTCAAGATGTAGGACTCCCTTAAGCATTTCTTGTAGAGCTAGTCTACTGGGATGAATTCCTTCATTTATTGTTTGTCTGGAATAGAGTATTTCCTCCCACATTTTTGAAAGGTAGCTTTGCTGGGTACAGCATTCTTGGTTGCCAGGTTTTTTTTTTTTTCTTCTCCCTGTTTTCAGCACTTTGGATATATCATCCATTCCATTTTCCGCTGTCCTGTAAGGTTTCTGCTGAGAAGTCTGTTGTTACTCTGATGTGGATTTCCTTATATGTGACTGGGTGCTTTTCACTTGCTGTTTTTAGAATTCTCTTTGTGACTTTTCATAGTTTGACTATAAGTGTCTTGGATAAGAGTTTTTTGGGTTAAATTTATTTGGGAATCTTTGAACCTCTTGCATCCAAGTGTCCTGTTGTCTTGCAAGTCTTGAGAAGTTTTAGGCTATTACATCATCATATAAGTTTTTTTTTCTTTTTTGATGGAGTCTTGTCCTGTTGCCTAGGATGGAGTGTAGCAGTGTGATCTCAGCTCACTGCAACCTTTGCCTCCCAGGTTCAAGTGATTCTTCTGCCTCAGCTTCTCAAGTAGCTGGGATTATAGGTGTGCACCACCACGCCTAGCTAATTTTTTGTAGCTTTAGTAGAGACAGGGTTTCACCATGTTGGCTGGGCTGGTCTTGAACTCCTGACCTCGTGATCCACCCACCTCAGCCTCCCAAAGTGCTGAGATTACAGGCGTGAGCCACTGTACCCAGCCTAAATATGTTTTGTATGTTTTTGCAAGCTTCCTTTTCTGTAACTCCAAAAATTTGAATAGCTGGTTGCTTTATGATTTCCTATTTGTCACATGGGTTTTCTTTCTTTCTGTTTTTCTCTTTCTTTCTTCCTTTCTTTCCTTCCTTCCTTCCTTCCTTCCTTTCCTTCCTTCCTTCCATCTTTCTTTCTTTCTTTCTTTCTTTCTTTCTTTCTTTCTTTCTTTCTTTCTTTCTTTCTTTCTTTCTTCTTTCTTTCTTTCTTTCTTTCATCTGACTAGGCTATTTTTTAAAAATTCTGTTTTCAAGTTGAGACATTCTTCAGCTTGCGCTAGTCTATTGTTGAAGCTCTCAATTATATTTTTTATTTCATTCAATGAATTCTTCAGTTCCAGGACTTTTGTGTGATTCATTTTTGTGATATCTTTTTGTTGAATTTCTCATTCATATCATGAATTGTTTTTCTGATTTCTTTGTATTACTTATCTGTATTCTCTGGTATCTCACTGAATTTCTTTAATATCATTATTTTAAATTATTTTTCAGGTTTTTATGATTTGCTTTTTGTTGGATTTTGTTGCTGGAGAATTATTGTGTTTCTTTGGAAGTGTCATGTTTCCTTTTTTATGTTTTTTTTTTCCTGTTTTTACATTGATGTCTGTGCATCTAGTGTAACAGTCACTTCTCCCAATTTTATAGATTAGCTTTTGTAGGGAAATACTTTTTTTATAGGTGTGTCTATAGTGTTGGTTGGGTAGGGTGCTTTGGCTTTGATTCTGGGTGGGTACAATAGTGTAGTCAGCC